GTTTTTTTTTTTTTTTTTTTAAATTTGGGCTCATCAATGAAAATTGTCATGAATATTGAAGAAGAATATGGGGAAAAAAGAATGGGGTAGGCTATAATTTGCCCAAAAAATTACAAGTGTAAGTGAAGATGTAAGATGATATTGTTATTTTCTGGTAATTTTTCTGAGGTCTATTAAATGTTCCAGTAGGCCTACTATGTTATATATGTCTCCGAAGAACATTTTTCTTGACTTTATAAGCTCTTTTATATACTTGAAATAATAAAATCCAGAGTTTCACACAAATGAATGTACAACACTTTGAACAAGAAGGGTATAGGGAGCTGACTATATAACCGCTTCCCTCCTCAAAACTTTCCACCCTTCAAAAGTTCCAAAGAAATATCAACAAAGTATAAAAAAGACCATAGAAAAATCTGCACACAGTTGGATTTTCATCAAACATATTCAGAAACAAAAAATTTAGTGTAGGCCTACCTCTTTCTTGGATTCCGAAAATGTAAGCCTAAAAAAATCCTGTATAAAACTCTTGTGGGTAATTTATAAAATTAACATATACACCTATCTATTATCAACCCAGTTTGTTTGCACAATAAGTTAATTTGTTATGATTTATTCCTGTCATCCACATGAGTTACTTGTCCTATGATGTTCATATTGCCTCCATGCATGTGTAAACCCAGTTTCAGTCATTTGCCAATGTGAAATATTTGTTATTATTTCTATCATGCATAGTTACTTGTCCTGTGATGTTCTTATAGCCTCCACCTATTGTAAACCCAAGTTCTTTGCTAAAGTTTAATAATTGCCATCATTTCTATTGTCCTGAGCTCTTTGTTTAATGATGTTCTTAAGTTTTTTATCATCTCGAGTTTTTGTCTAATGATGTTCCTATAGCCTCCACCTACTCTTATAAAAACTCGAGTTATTTGCTAAAGTTTATTGGTGATCTTTTCCATTGTCCTCAGTTCCTCGTCCAATGATGATCCCAGCACTGGCCCGTGCGTCTCTTCACCGGCCACCTTCCCAGTCGCTGCTACAGTTGGAGCCTCGCTGTCAGAAAATGGGAGGACCAGAGACAGTTTCCAACAGTTCACAAGACTCTTTAAACAACTGCTAAAACTACCAAAGGATGGCACTTGTACATTTTTACTCCTACATAAAATTGTTTGATCATTCTGAGATAGTGCAGTCTAGGGTCTATCCCACACTGTTCTCAGATAATGTATGCGAATGTTTGTGAAAGATTGTGTTTTAGATTTATTTGAATAAACTTCAAGACAGGACTTAACAGAAGTTGTGTGATGTGTTTGAAAAGTGTCTTTTTGTTTTTGAGTTATTTAGAGTGTGTGTGTCTCTCAGTGTGCCTGCCTGCCTGTTTGTCTGTCTGTCTGTCTGTCTGTCTGTCTGTCTGTCTGTCTGTCTGTCTGTCTGTCTGTCTGTCTGTCTGTCTGTCTGTCTG